TAGCTCAGGGACAATCTTCCTCAATCAAAAAGAGGCAGATAGATTGGCAAGGGATGTTAGCTCAGGGCTAAGCTTCCTCACCAAAAAAAGAAAAAGAAGAAAAAGAAAAAGAAATACCATACAACCCAGCTCTTCCACTACTGGGTATTTATCCAAAGAACTTGAAATCTGCAATTCAAAGAGACTTATGCACCCCTATGTTCACTGTAGCATTATTCACAAAAGCCAAGCCGTGGAAGCAACTGAAGTGCCCATTGACTGATGAATAGATAAAGAAGAGGCGGTATATATACAATGCAATACTACTCCACCACAAAAAAAGACAAAATCGTCTCATTTGCAACAACATGGATGGACCTTGAGGGTGTGATGTTAAGTGAAATAAGCCGGACAAAGAAAGACAAACACCATGTGATTTCACTCATATGTGGAAGATAAACACATGGACAAAAAGAATAGATTAGTGGCTACCAGAAGGGAAAGGGGCAGGGGGGTGGGCATAAGGGGTGAAGGGGCACATATACATGGTGACTGACAAGTAATAATGTACAACTGAAATTTCACAATGTTATAAACTATTGTGACCTCAATTAAAAAAAGCGGAAAAAAAAAAATGATACAGGTTCATTAAAGCAAAATTGGAAAGTGGAAAATATTCAGCTTAAATACTGCACTTCCAGGCAGCCTTCCTGTCCTCGGCGCCTCCTATGGATGGCTCATAGGTCATTAAGTCTGAAGACACTGAGGAATGTGCTCGCATCACCTTTCATCTGGGGGTCCCTGGGCAAGTCTCTCAAGGCTCAGTTCCCTCACCCGTAAAACAGGAAAAAGAAATCAAAGTTTTTCAAACAACTTCTTCCTCAATCTTTTTCTGGTCCCACCGTCCTCGGAGAAACCACGACTCAAGATGGATAAGGCAGCTCCTAACCCCTCTAACAAAGCCAGAGGTGCCCAGCGTCACAAAATAGCAGGTAGGAAAACCTAATTCCATCTTGGGAGAATTAAATGGGCCTGGTGTGGGTGGCCGTTCTCTTTAAGCTGTCTGTCCTCTGCGTCTGGTCCCGAGCTTCTCTGGGCCCCCAGAGTCCGGCACAGTAAGGCGAATTTCACTGGAGAACCAAGATGAGGGATGGCCCACGCGGAAAGGTTGCCCTGTAAGAGGTCATGACCAGCAACAAATGGCGGGAGGGGTTGGACCCCACAAGAAAGCGGACCCAGAAAAGCAGTTCCCTAGGGCTGGGTCCAAGGGAGGAGACAGCTGCAGGGAAGGTCCTATTGGATGGGGCGGAGGAGTCGGCGGGCCCATCCGACGGGATAGACATACACAACCAGCCCGGAGTGGAAAGAACAGTTTATGCTGTGCTTTATTAAAATGTGCATCATTCTTTTATTTTAAAATGTGCATCATTGTCTCGTGCTCCGCGTGCGCGATTTCAGCGTGGTGGCCCCCGGCGGGCCTAGTCCCCGCCCGGCTCCCGCGGAGCCGCCGTGCGCAGGCGCACTCAGGTGGCGCGGGCCCGGGGGCTCCCGCCCATGGCCAGGTAGACGTCGATGGGCACGTGCAGCAGCGTCAGGCAGTGGCAGCCGGGGCAGCGTCGAAGCGGCCTGGGGAAGGCGGGGCGCGACGGGGGGGCGCTGAGGTGGAGGCCCGGCCCATCCTGTTGGGGACGCACCCGGGCAGGGCACCTGGGATCCCCGAGGTTAGGGCGTGGATGGGGTGGGTCTTACGTGGTGGCGGAGGGGGGTGTCGGGATGGGAAGAGGGACAGGGGCGGGACCGGAAGCGCTCGGCGCGCAGCAGTCCACGCGGCTCCCCCTCGGGGCGGTTTGGAGGATTGGGACGGCAGGAGGGCTCACGGGGGAGGGGCGCCGGTCTCACCTGACCGGGTTGTGCTCCGTGGCTACCGGCTCTGGGCTGTCCTGGGACTCGGGGGCGGCAGCAAAGCCAGGGGAGTCTCCGGCCTCAATGGGGAATCTCCGACCCTGAGGGGGCTCCTGGGCACTCATGTCCAGGCCCCGGGGCGCTCTGCGCGGGGAGTGGCGGTCAGGCTGCTCCAGGGCCGCGGGGCGCCCCCTCCCCACGCCCGCCCCCTGGGTCGTTGCTCACCTGCCGGAGGCCGAGGCCGGACCCAGGCTGGAAGCAGCTGCCCGAGCCCTGGCTGCGGGAGGACGCTCCGGTCCAAGCGGAGCCGGGCAGGTGTCTGCGGCGCGTCCGGGCCCGGGCGTCGAGGGGAAGGGCTGCATTGTGACCCTGGCCACGGCGCGCTGACCTCACAGAACCCGTTCCTCCGGCCCAGGAACTCCCCGCCGCCCCCCGCCGCCCCGGCACTTAGCGCGGCCGCGAGCCGGGAGCTGGAGGGCTCTGGCCATGGCGCCTTGACACTGGGTCCCGCAGACCCCAGCTTCCCGATGGGGGCGCAGGAGGCGACAGGAGCGTCCACCAAAAGGAGCCCGGCATCCCGGGCCGCGCAGACACCTGACTGCGCCCCCGTCCCCCAAGGGCTGCAACTCTCTGCTTGGTGTCGGGGTGGGGGCGGAGCGGTGACTTAACCCGTTTTGGGTTTGGTGGTGGTGGTTTGAGGGTAGGTAGGGGCACTGCCCATTTTGGCCAAGGGTCACACAGCATTTACATCACAATTGGGCCGGAGTTTTAAAATGTCTGGCCCTCTCCCTTCCCACCACCCGCGGCTGCTGTGTCCAGACGGAGAATGTTCTAGCGCTGGGGGCAGCTGCGGATGAAGTCCTTGGGGGGGAAAAGGAGCGGGCCAAGGGCAATGGTGGAGTAGAGCTGCCTCCTGGAGGCAGCATGAGCTGAGAGGGTGATAGCAAGGAGGCGCTAGACGGCATGGAGGACTTTCTGCTCTCCAATGGGTACCAGCTGGGCCAGACCATTGGGGAAGGGACCTACTCAAAAGTCAAAGAAGCATTTTCCAAAAAACACCAAAGAAAAGTGGCAATTAAAATTATAGACAAGATGGGAGGGCCAGAAGGTGAGCTGGGGCCCATTTGGAGGAAGGGGGGCTGGCTGAGGTGGGAGGGTGCTTCCTCCAGTCAGAAGGCTCATTCCCTCCTCCCCTTTAGTCTGGAACCAAGGAAAGCCAGAGAGATTGTGGCCCTGGGAGAGGTGAGTGGGGAACAGAGGATGCTGGGAGTCCAGGAACATCACACCCTCCAAAACCCAAGATTAAAGTGGCAGGAAATGGAGGGTCCTCAGAGACAGAACTCAAGCCTGCCAGGCCTTCCTATTCCAGGAGGGGAAAAGACAGAGGCCGCGGCCAGGGCTAGGAGGGGGCAGGAGCTGGTGCCAAGGCAGGTAGAGATGGGAAAGACAGGGCTCATGGAAAGAACTGTGGGTCAGGAAGCAGGGGTGGGAGGAGCTCGCTCACCACATGGTAGGTAAATCAGGCCTCATAACTGAGATTCAATGGCTTTGTCTAAAAATTCCCAAAGCACTTCGATATCCATGGTCTCAAAGGCTGCTCACAACAGTCCCTGAAGTTGGCAGGGACTAGTTCCTTTGAATAATGTATTAATACAAAAATAACAGAGGTGAACATTCTCTGAAATGTCCAAGCAGCTAGACATGGAAGACTGTCAAAGGGAACCAAGGCACAAGACCTGGATAGGATTGGCACACCGAAGTTGGAAGGTAGGAGACAGGAGTAAGGAGTTAGGCCCCTCCAGACTTGATACCCCATCTCTTTTTCCATTGTTTCCTCAGAATTTATCCAGAGATTCCTGCCTCGGGAGCTCCAGATCGTCCGTACCCTGGACCACAAGAACATCGTCCAGGTGTATGAGATGCTGGAGTCGGCCGACGGGAAAATCTACCTGGTGATGGAACTGGCTGAGGGAGGGGATGTCTTTGACTGCGTGCTGAATGGGGGGCCACTGCCTGAGAGCCGGGCCAAGGCCCTCTTCCGTCAGATGGTCGAGGCCATCCGCTACTGCCATGGCTGTGGCGTGGCCCACCGGGACCTCAAGTGCGAGAACGCCTTGTTGCAGGGCTTCAACCTGAAGCTGACTGACTTTGGCTTTGCCAAGGTGTTACCCAAGTCACGCCGGGAACTGAGCCAAACCTTCTGCGGCAGCACAGCCTATGCCGCCCCCGAGGTACTGCAGGGTATTCCCCATGATAGCAAGAAGGGTGACGTCTGGAGCATGGGCGTGGTCCTGTATGTCATGCTCTGTGCCAGCCTACCTTTTGACGACACAGACATCCCCAAGATGCTGTGGCAGCAGCAGAAGGGGGTGTCGTTCCCGACTCATCTGGGCATCTCTGCTGAATGCCAGGACCTACTCAAGCGGCTCCTGGAACCAGACATGACTCTCCGGCCTTCCATCGAAGAAGTTAGTTGGCATCCATGGCTAGCAAGTACTTGATAAAAACAATGGCAAGTCCTCCCCAATAAAGCAGGGGGAGAAAGCAAACCCAAAACCTGCTTCTAAAATGGTGATATATATTTTACGCTTTAAGTTTACTTATCCTAAAACTTACCTACACCCCTCCCCAGCCTTACTTCTCTTTCCCTTTAAAGATCTTCATGGAACCAGAGGGCCTCATTCAGACTTCCCTTTTATTACAGCTGACAAGTGATTTTCATACAGGTGTTTAACTAAAGTTAATTAAAAATAGACCCCAGAATCATACACACACGTGGGGAGGAGAGGAGGAGAGGAGAAAAATGACCAACAGCAATTGGAACCACTGTTGTTGCAACTTCCTTTCCAAATAAAAGCAGAAGTGTTGGGAATGCAGAAATGGTCTCTTGACTCCTTATCTTGGTGAGAGGCCTGTTGGAGGCCCTGTCCCTTCCTCATCCCAAAGGCCAAGCTGAGTCTGGGATAAAGACAAGGGACTTCCTCAGGACCCAGGCTAGCCCCCAACCGCCCCTCCCCCAGGCTCCAAGCGGGAAGCCACTCTGCACACGGTGTGCACCCTGCCTGCCTCCAGGGCAGCTGCCGTGGGGGACAAGAACAGACCCCCAGACACCTTCCGGCTTCTGTTGAATCTCTTTAATGCTGTTAACGGCAAGTCTGGAAAAGGTTCAGGACAAAGTTCTTTGCTCTTTCTTTTTTAATTACAAAACTAACAGCTGTTAGAATCTTTTTTTTTTTTTTTTCCTTTTTTCTTTTCCCGGCTACAAAATACTCTGGGGAGATGCATTATAATTTAAAATATATAATATTGCACAAACAACCAAAAGGTTAATTAAACTAAAGAATTACAAAGAGAAAAACCCCATCCCGTCAAAAAAAGATTCAGCATTCTCTCCATCCCACCCCCTCACTGAAGGTTTGAAGTGGAGGTGACCACCACTCTTTTGGCGTCCCTGCCCACCATCCCTTTCAATCATGGGTGAACACACCAGATTATGTACAAGAGTCACCAGAGCAGCATCGTGAAGCACCAGGGTCTCCAGGGATTCCTGCAGCCCCTCATTCCCCAAGAGAGGTGCAGCTTTACCAGAGTGGAGGGTGAGAGCCACACAGACTGGATCTGTCTTCAGGAAGAAGAGCTTTTGCAGAAGCCTGAGGAGAGTCTCGAGAAGTCCGCCCCCAGCGTACCCCTTCAAGCCGCAGAAGGGCTGAGGCGGGGAAGTTGGGCTTACCAGAGTTGTAAGTACTCAGCTTTGATCACTGCTCTGTACCGCTGGTAGCTGGCTTGTGTCCTAAGCTACAGGGGAGTCGAGGTGGGTAGCTGGTTGGACAAGGTATCCCGCCAGGCAACGCAGAGAAGGGCCTGAAGTGGCCCCCTCCCTTCTTGGGGAGGGGGAGAAATGCAAGAGCAGACTCTTGCAGGTGGCACAGCTGGGCTAAGGACTTGGGTGGAGGAAGAAGCCCTGGGAAAGGCGTTGGGGACGTAACAGCCTGGGCCAGATGAAAGGAAGGAGGTGGGAACTCAGGGTTTGGTCTCTAGATTCTGAACCACAAGGAACCTTTCCAGGAATGGACAATGCCTGGGAGGGGAAGATTCCCAAGAGAGGCAAATTTCCCAGAGACAAGTGCCTCTTATTCGCTGGGTAAGAACCAAAATGTGCTCGCCATCCCTGTCTAGCCAAGGGCAGGTGGCATGGCCTTCCTTGTCTGCTTATGGGTAGACAGTGTGGGTTGTTTCAGCTTCCCCCAAGAGACTGGTGGTTTAGCTTCCGTCTACACAGGCAGAAGGGCTAGAGCTATCCCTTGGGACTTCCCAGCAAGAGTCCCCAGGAACAGTGGGTGTTCAGTAGAGATGCGTAGGCTCTTCCGGTGAGGGGGGTAGGTTTCCTCCCCCTTAGGTCATCCTATAGTTGGCACAAGTCAGAGTTTCTGGTTTGGATTTAGTGAGCCCCTTCTCAGATAGGAACAGAGGCCCAAAGGGCCAGCAAGGAGCAACCCAGATTCTGTGCCCAGAGCTCTGGTTGACAGAGGCCATTTGGGGGGACATTCTCAGTCAGTGTCTTCCAGGGCTGGGCTGAGACAAGCAAGGGAGATGGGAGTTGCTGTGGTGGGGGAGCTGCTTGCTCTGGCTCCCCTCATTCCCAGTCCTCCCACTCTACATCTTCCAGCTGCAAATGGGAGGGGATAATGGAGAGCACAAACACACATTTACTCCTCTGAGTCCAGCCCAGACCCAAACTCCCCTTGTTGCCTCCATTTCCAGAGAGCTCTCCCAACCCCTCTTAGCACTGTGGACATACCCTGCCCCCTATGAGAGTGAACCTCTAGTCTTAAAGAATGTGTCTGCCTAAGGGGTGGTCTGCTGCTCCGATCACGGCAGACTCAAAGGAAATGCTTCCACCAACCAACACTGGACGCTACAAGGGGATGCCTTACTACAGGAACCAAGTCAGTCAATCCCTTCAGGAGAACCTGTCTCCTGCTGAGCAGGCAAGAACATGGTTCTGAGGCAGAGGACTTGAGAGCAGCGCAGTGATCAGAAGCAAGTGTGGCACTGAATTGCAGGTGCTCACAGCATCTTCACTAAGGGCTCCAGCACCATAACCCCCAGGGTCTCCCCAGGGAACTTCCTCTTGGCCTGCTGTCAGCTGATCCCTGATATCAAGGGTTATAGAATAACTCTTTGGGTATACTGTATGTCAGGTTTTCAAGAGGGCCACAAAGACAAAAAAGCCATCATGTCCCTATGGTATGATACGATGCTATGGGCCTTCTCTGCCCTGGGTATCATGAGGTCACAGGTGCAAAATACTCTTGCATAGGTCTCCAGTTCCCCTCAGGCTTGTTTCCCAGTACGAAAAACGAGGCCCTTCCTGTCTCTCTTATCTGTTCACCTCTTTATAGCAGGTTCATGAGCTACATGATGGAAGGAATCATGGGGCTCTTGTGTGACAGTGGAGGTAACCCTGATTTGATTCAGATGTCTGGGCTGAAGCCTCAGTCCTGTCACTTATTAGCTGTGAGAGTGTGTTTTCCAGTCTCTCATTCAAAATGACCCATTCTTGATTCTGAGAGGTAGTGAAGAAGAAGAGTCAGAAGGCCTCTGAGCTTACAACTAGACTGGGTTCTGTGGTGGTTTCAGTAACACCTATCAGTGCTCCGAGCCCCAGGCACTATGCCTGACGTGTCTACATGCACTGTCTATCACAGCTTAGAATGAGCAATGTCATGTTTTAGATGGTGAAACAGAAGCTCAGGTTAAGTGACTTGCCCTAGATCACATGTCTTTTGTCTCCAAGGCCAGGAATCTGCTCAGATCACACAGCTGAGGACCATGAGTCAGAAGATCTGGGGAAGGGTGTGGTGTCTACATTTTTTAGTAGTTCCTCAGGTGATTTTGACACGGAGCTAATGTCAAGAACTCTCCCATCCATCCACCCTGCAACTGAGGGGAAGCAGAGCCTGCTGATGACAACTGTTCAGGGCCTGAGTGGGAAGCCCCAGCTCCCTTCTGCAGCCTGCCACCTTAGACAGGAGCAGAGATGCACTCGGATGGGACACTGGGCTTGGTGGAGAGAGTCCTAAGACCCTGGGATCACTGGGCTTGCTTCCCTGTGGCCACCAGGCCCGCTCACCTCACCGGAGGCGTCCACTTTGGAAAGTGCCATCTGCACTTCTTCTTCAGTCATGTCCAAGTCGAAGTCCTTCTCCCAGTCCTCGCTGATGTCCGTGCTTGAGCCTGGAACCATGATCCACAGTGTGAAAGGCACGAAGGGGTATGTAAAGAGGTTGTAGCTGGGGAGGATGACACTTTTTTTTTTGGTGAGGCAGATTGGCCCTGAGCTAACATCTGTTGCCAGTCTTCCTCTATTTTGTATGTGGGACACCGCCACAGCATAGCTTGATGAGAGGTATGTAGGTCCGTGCCTGGGATCCAAACCTACGAACCCCAGACTGCCAAGGCATGAACTTAACCACTGTGCCACTGGGCAGGCCCTGAGATAACACTCTTTAAAAGGGCCTGACAAATACACATCAAAAGTCTTTACATTATGCTTTCACTCTGGCTCAACAATCCCACTTTTAAGAATCCATTCTAAGGAAAAGTCCTGGCTTCAGTGAAAAATTCAGCCAAAAGGATGTTCACTATAGTGCTGCTATAGTGATGAAAACTTAAAAAACCACCTGAAAGTCCACTGATAGGGAATTACAAAAATAACTAACTGGTGTAGTCAGATGATGGAACATTATGTGGCTTTTAAAGGTTAGGCTGTAGAACATCTATGTATGTGACAAAATAGTCTTAAACTATTAAATGAGAAAAAGCAAGTTACTGAATAGTGGAGGAGCACTTCGGCCCAGAGGCTCCCTGGGAGCCACAGACATCTTCTAGAAGGAATAAACAATGGACCTCTTCCTCCTCACTCATCCCATTCTACCTACAGTGATCTTGCTACTCCTGAAACACACCAGGCACATCCCCACCTTAGGGTCTTTGCACGGGCTGTCCCCTGTACCTGGAACTCTCTTCCTCAGATATCCACAGGCCACCTTCCTCACTTCCTTCACGCCTTTGCTCAAATCTCACCACGTAAATGTGGCCTACCCTGACCATCCTATTTTAAATTGCAACCCCTCCCCCTCACTCTGCTCTAGCTGTTCTTTTTTCCATTGTAGTTATCGCTTTCTAGCATATTACATAATCAGGTTTAATATACTTACTGTCTAATAATAGAGGAGCTAGAATGTGAGCTCCCCAGGGGCAGGGATTTTTGTTCAGTTTTCTTATGTATTCCAAGTGACTAGAACACGCAGTTTGTACTCAGTAAATATTCATGGCCCCTTTCTCTAAACCAGGATGGCAAACTATGGCCTGTGGACCAAATCCGGCCTACTGCCTGTTTTTGGAAATAAAATTTTGGAACACAGCCATGGCCATTTTTCTGCAGATTGTCTGTAGCTGCTTTCATGCTACAACAGCAGAGCTGAGTAGTTGGGACAGAGACTGTATGCTCCAAAAAGCCTAAAATATCTGTGATCTGGCCCTCTAGAGAAAATGTTCACCAGTCCCTGCTCAAGGTGATTCTGAGGCCTGCTAAAGTTTGACAACCCCCTCTCTAGGGCAAAATGTACATGTGAAAGTTATTACTAAGAAGAAAACTACAAAAATAGTTCCTTTTAAAAAAAGTTTACGCAGTATGATTCCATTTTAAAAATATGCTCACAGATGCATGCACACACAAAGGAAAGATGAGCAAAATACTAACAATAGTTATCTCTAGGTGATGAGGTCACAGGGTAATTTTTCTTGGTGTTTTTTTCCTAAAATGAACACATATTACTTTGTAATCATTTTTTTTTTTTTTTGCTCAGGAAGAGATGCCCTGAGCTAACATCTGTGCCAATCTTCCTCCACTTTATACGTGGGTTGCCATCACAGCATGGCTGACAAGTGGTGTAGGTCCATGTCCGGGATCCAAACCTGCGAACCTGGGCCACTGAAGCAGAGCGCACAAACTTGACCACTACACCATGGGGCCGGTCCTGTAATCCTTTTTCAAAGCACTTTTAAAAAGAGTAGGCCCCTGATCCCCAGTGGCATGACCTGTAACCACCTCCTTGTTTCTTCTTGTCCAGCTTGCTCCTCACCAGGGCCCAGGCTCTAAGATCTACCCCCAAGCTCCGGCCCTATGTTCCTTATAGGGGGTCTTGCACTATTCTCTCTTCCTAGCCACCTAGCTGGCCACAAGCAGTGTGGTAAGAGCATGTCTCTGGAGCCAAGCCAACCTGGGTAGAACCGCTACTCTTTTTTCTATTGTGTAGTCTTGGGCAGGTTACTCTGGGCTTCAGTCTATGGGAGGAGCTTATTAGAATGCAGGTTCCTGCTTCCCCAATCCCCTCATTCAGATTCAGCAGGTCTAGGTGGTGGCCCAGAACTCTGTGTTATAAACAGTACCTGGGTGATTCTGTGTAGCTGGCCTGCAGTTTGAGAGACACACAATGTTAAGATTAGAGGTATCAATGTCAAGTGCCTGTAATATATATACATAGTGGATATTTAATAAATGGAGCAGTTAAAGGCCTCATCTCAGAGTTAAGCATTTTGCACATTGTCCCACAGCTAGTCAGGGGCAGACCTGAAACCAAGACCCAGTTCTTCTGACTCCACATCTAAATCTCCCTGTGCCTTCAGGACACTTGGGTGGCATGCAGCTGGCCATCAGTGCAGGCTTCCTGTGGGTTAGAAGCCAGACTCCTGGCTGATTCCTCACTTCAGAGCTGTGGCCATGGCCATGACAGCTTCCCCTAACCTCAGGTTGCCCTCTAGGGATTTTAAGCTCACGTCTTTAGGCTTAAACACTAGAACAGACCCTTTCGGGGTAGAAAACAGAGTATCAGCTAACATTTTTGGAGCATTTCACATCCACTCTCTGGGGTGGGTATTAAAAGTCCCAATTTACTGATGAGGAAATAAAGGTTTCAAGTGGCAGAGATGTGAATCTGGGCTTTCTCCGCTGTCTGCCTCCTCCCACCATCTTGTCACAAAACGAGTGTATTAAGATCTCCATTATACTGTGCACGTGGCAGAGAACTGACCTACACAACAATTTAAGACTTCATGATGGAGTTTTACTGTTTTTCTTTCTAAAGAAAGGAGGGTTTTTAGGTGATTACTAACCTCACACTGCTGTCACTCACAGCTCATTTTCTGTTTAATTGGATCTCTCCTTCCCCAGAGAAGATATGGAGGCATAAGCCACTCCCAGTCAGTCAGTGGTGAAGTGGGGCCTTAAGCTCAGGGCTCCTTCCAGGCCACAGGCCATAGGCTCGTGCCAATCACCCCTCCCCACTCCCTGCTGAGGGAACCAGAGCAAGGTAAGTCCAGTCCCTTAGATCAGATGGACCTAGGGACAAAATGCAGGTGGGAAGCAGCTCTACATTGACACGGACCCTGGGACCTGGGAAACCCTGTGGCTAGGCCACCCCAAGAGACTCTGCTGCACC